GATTCTTCAACCAAGATGAGCAGCATTCCAGTCGAGGCATGGAAATCCCAAAATTTGCCTACGGATCTCCATACCCAGGAATCTCAAGGTGAAAGTCCAATGCGAGTTATTTAATTGTTCGAAATTTGTTTAAAGAAAAGCTATATTCAATTCATTTTCTAAAGGCCGAGCTAGATCAAAGAAGTGGGACGCGTTGAAGGCGATCGTGATATTGGCATGCGGAGCCCTCGCTCTCAGGCAGGTCGGTGTTTTCATCTCCAGGCGATCCGATTGGATTTTAGTGGATAATACGATTTACTTGGATAATATGGATTTACGTGGATCACAGGTGTCGCTCATGATCGACGAATACTTGTCCTTCCCGACCAACACGTTGTACATGACGGATTACATCGGCTCGATCCCGGCTCCGGCGTTTACAATCTGCCCGAGACCGTCGCTGAAGGCGGCTTTCGCGAGGGAATGGTCTCAAAATTATAAGAAATTCAAAGACGCTTCCCTGTCTTTAGCTGATTTCGTCTTACAGGCGGGACGAAGGCCCGTTTTCCACCTGAACTGCTTACATAGTTGACACTACCCTCTCTGGTAGTAAGGGTAATTTCTGCCACTCCCAAGTAAGTAGACTTAGTGCTCCGAACTTATACCTCTTTATTTCCGAGATTGGTTTCTTTAATAGACGCAAGTTATTGGAGTGAGCGAACATTTGCCGAAATGCAAGCGGATCGAGTCATGAAGTTCACGAAGTGCGACATGAACCTGGTTCTCTATCTGTGACCCGTTTCGTGAACGAGCTTGTTTTGGAAGTTTAAGCTAAAGTTCCGCTAGTCCCTATATAGGCTTCTGGTTTTGAAAAAAGAAGTCGACTTTTCCTTTCTGAAGGAGGTTCGTAAGAGTCTTAACTTTTTTTTTGTTGCTCTTTTTGAATTTCCCGGAGCCAAACCCATGAAACCTTTACACAGAGTTTACTGATATTTACTCAAAGGTTTCAAGACTCTTCACGCGAACTCGTTCCATTGTAAAGAAACCATGAATTTGTCGAATAATGCAATTGAAGATATTGAACCTTGAAATTGGACCCCCCGAAGAACAGGAAGATTCCGCACGTGTGACCACATGTGACCACATCGCGACGGCTTTGTGATTCATGCTGAGACTCCATAGTCCCGTACAAACGGGTCAGACGAAGCCGGTTGCAAGTTTCATGAAAATAGCAGTAACCAAAGCAGAGACATTAACTCGTATGGTGAAAATTCGGGAGTCTTTCTTGCATTACCTTGTGCCTATGAATAGAAGAGTATAACACTTTTTTTTCTCCTAGATGGAATACCTACCTATATACCTCCTTGTCTTAATTCTCGAAATGCTCAAAATTACGTTTTGATCTTGCAATACGCCATTCCAGACTCACCTTGAGTTCAAACTAAATCCCCGCCAGTGCATTTCCATGCAACAGACCGATAGAAAGAGACGAATCAGCTTCAAAAGAGGGAATACTCATTTTTCATATTAGGTAGAATTAATTTTCGTCTTCAGCACTTCGTGTATATGATCGCTGAATCGGCAGATCCAGGTTTTCGTGCACGATCAGAAGGAGAAATTCGCATATTTGGAATCCTTTAAGCCCGAGCACGTGCTCGTTCTCAACAACACCGTTACCAACATTGCCATTCGTCCTGAGTTCATTCAGAAACAGAACAAAAAGGACGACCCCTGCACCTTGGATGAGGACTACAGCTACATGCGGGTGAGTTAAGCTAAAACAGCTGAATTGGCACAACCAAATCAATATCTGAAATATTTTATATCCAAATCAATTTCATATCTTAGGTATTTATGTCTAAATCTATTTCATATCTTAAGTATTTATATTTAAATAAATATCCAGGAACTATTTTTTAACCAGTGCATTGAAAACTGCTTCTGGAAACGGGCACAGACTTCCCCACGCCTACCGTGTTTGATCCCTTCCCTCCTGCCTGACGGAGCGAATCTGACGAAACCAGAATGCCAAGATAAGAATGAAGAAGACAAGCAGCAAACGTACATATCTGGGACCGGAAGCAACATTTCGTTGTGGAGCAACTGCAGCTGTGTCAAGAGGTGCAAGTTGATCGACTATCATTTATTTCTGAATCCAGTGAATCCCTGTGAGTGGAGGGCAGGGCAAGGGAACGCGACCGGTCTTGCTAGTCTCATGTTCAGTTTCCCATCGAATCGGGTTCGTGTCCTCGATCTTTGCCTAAATTCCCCTGTCATCATCTGGAGAAGGGTGACCTTTAATTATCCTTTAACTCCCTGTTAGATGGCACACATCCTTGAGATGGAGAAGGTGACCCTCCTGGATCTCCTGTCCAACATCGGCGGAATCGTCGGCATCTGCCT